AAATGCCCACAATCGTACCGAATTAAATTTTTAAAATTGAACCTAGTTTACTCGTAAACATTAAATAATACGCGCAAGGGATTATGAAATCGACTGTATTTTAAACTTATTAGTGTTGATTTATTAGTGTTAGTGATTTATAAGTGTTCTTAATAAACACATGTTTATAAAATACAATTCAAAACAAAATATTGTAATTAATTGTTGCGATTAAATTAATCGTTCAATTATGTATAAATGAAGGAAATCATATAATCCTCACGAAAAATTGAAAATCGTTGAAATAGCCGATAAGATAGGAAGTATTCGATATTAGAGATGTGTTTGAAATAGATTTAGGTTCTGATTTTGATGAATTTGATTGATTTTATACTTATTATAATTATGTTTAGTAATGAACTAGAATATTTGAACAATACTTTTTGTGTTATTTATTTTCAAACCATATATAACGCGCACCACTAATTTCGGCAAGAATTTCACTTTTTTCAATAGATAACGCGCGCGTTGTCTATGGGATATTAGGGTAATTATTAAATTTTACTGCAATGAATACAAGTATAAAATGTGTGACTCAAGTAAAATGCTATGAATTAATAATTAAACTTTTGTATTACCCTAATATCCCATAGACAACGCGCACCCCGTGTATAACGCGCAGTAAAAAATTTAACAGTATTTGTGAGTAAAAAGTCATTTATAGATAACGCGCACCCCGTGTATAACGCGCATGTTCTACACTGTAAATTTCAAACTTATTAGTGTTGATTTATTAGGGCTAGAATAAACACGTGTTTTAATAATACAATGTAAAACAAAATATTGCAATTAATTGTAAAATTTAAGTTAAATATTCAAATGAATCTTTCAGTTAAACTAAATTTCAAAACTATAGCCTAAAGTTTTATAGAAATGTGAAATTTTCATGTTTATAATTAGTTACTTTATTGGAATATATACTCAGCATAATAATTAAAAGTTTTATCATTTATAACAATTTAAAAGTTATTTTGTTTTCTTAAAATTTTAATATTTAAAAAATATATTACTTAAAAATTATATTTTAAAATTTGATATTACAAAATAATGATTAATTTAGACAAATAATATGTTCTGATTAGCATTTACGATTTTTCTGATTAGCATATGTTCTGATTATTATATATTTTTTATAGATAATAATAGTTAATTTAGTTCAAATAACAAAAATTAATCATTTATTTTGTAAATATGTGCAACAAAGATATCATTAATATAGAGTGGTTGAACATATAATTTTAAGATTCAGAAAGTCCCTAAATATTTACTAAACATAGGATTAAATTTAGTGCTAAATATTTTCAAAATTTCACCACTAACATTTTTATACATAACGCGCACCCTGTAGATAACGCGCACACCTAATTTTGGCAAGAATTCCACTTTTTTCAATAGATAACGCGCGCGTTGTCTATGGGATATTAGGGTAATTGCATTGCAATTATTGTGTGATATTCTGCGATCATTAGTCGACCCTAAATTAGTACCATATTGTTTAATTCATTATTTTAATTCATGTTAATTTATCAAAATATGTTTTATTTAACTAAAATTAAAATAATTAAAAATATTGATTAACTGTAATATTTAACAAATGATTTAATTATTTTATTATTTATCTATTAGTTAAATATTGAATAGGCCTGGCATAATAATTTTTATATATAAAATAATATGATGCAAATGGTTATTTACCAAAAACTATGATATTGTATTTATGGTATTTAACATACCGCCATTATTAGTAATAATTAAAAGTTAACTTATTAAAATAAAACGCTTAATATACTGTATAATAACTTTAAACAATTATAATTTCGGTTTAAAATATAATATTAATTTTGATCTACCTAAATCAATTAAAATTAATAAATTGTGTAATTTAATTTATAATTTATAAAAATAATTAATCATTTTTATTATAACAAACTCTTTTGTTAAACTATTAATAAACTGTAAGAAATTAATTGAGAGGATTTTGAGTGAATATAAGCATTAATTTGATATGAATAATAAGTATTACCAAGATATAACAATTGTCATTCAATTATTAAATTGAACATGCATTGTCTCAATCATTATTAATTATTAATGAAGGTAATATTTGTAATTACATTTATTATTGCGAGATGTTTATGTAATTTGTATTTTTAAGTGTATTGTAATTATATAATGTTTATCATTGTGAATACTAGGGATTGTGCATATTTAACAGTACTGTAATAGTATGTAATAATTTATTATAAATTTTTGACAGCTTATAAAAATTATTTAGCAACAGAGATAATGTATGCAACTATTTTATAATGTAAAATATAATTTATTTAAATAATAAACAATATTTATTAAATTAACTTTTATTGATTCATTTACATAGACTTTAGTCGATTGAATAAAGTTGTTACAAATAAAGCATAAACGTTTTGCAAATGCAACAAATGTTATCAAATATGATAATTATTTTATGCCTTTAAGATTGCCTCAAATGTAGCGCAAAACAGGTCTCCATTATCGCCGATAAGTCTGGGCTTGAATAGGGTGTCCACATTAGGCACATATTCCGGAATAGTAGACTTGTAAACCAACTTTTTAACCTCACCCTTCGCAATGGGACAGGGAGTGGTGTGACAACCATTAGGGTCAAAGCCGGGCACCATTGTAGCCATGTCTATATCCTGACCGCCAACTATGGCGTGCAGATTCCAGATTGCCTTAACACTAGCTTGGTCTATTTAGTGTTTAGTTAATTATGATTAATTTGTAATTGTTATGTTTTAATGTAATTAAATTTATAATATGCATAATAGTAAGAATAAAATAAAACTATTGCTTAAACTCAAATATGATACAATAAATTGTAGAAATACTCACTCGCTTTGTATGTAAATGTAAATAAGGTTTCCACTCCCTTATGGATAACGCAAGGACTGCCTGAACAGCCATTGATTTCAATCTTGATCATTTCAGAGTTTCCTATGTAGAAATATTTTAATTATTGTTAGAGGCACTAATATATTATACTTTTGTATTCCTTTTATCGCTCACAAAAAATTTATAAAAATAATTTATATAAATTTTCTATGAGTGATGATTATTAGAGTATTGATTATGTAATAAATTGTAATTAAACTCATTATGATTTATAATTTACAATATACTGACCGCAGTCTTTGAAGTCGATGTTGGCCGAGACAGCGGATATGATTAACGTTAAATAAACTAATTTCAACATGGTTAGTTTAGACAACAATTATTATTTTAGATATTAAAATATTAAAAATTATATTTTTTATGAGACAACTTTCTCTGTATTTATACTACGTAGAGATGGTTAATTGCTAATCAGTGAATAATACTCTTATTAAAATAATTATCTTAGCACTTATAATTTGTTAACTGATTATAGCAATTAGTAAATGATATTTATTATTAATGCTTATTACAATTGTATAAAATAACCATAGGGTTAGTAACAAACAATCTTATAAATTATATAAATTAATAAGTAACCTAGGTATTGTCTTAAAAAATATTTAAAACAGGCAATATAAAGTTAAGATAATACATCTGCAAATGCAGTTTCTTTATATATAAATACAATATAATAAATTTAAATGTCATAATTTTTATAAATTAGTAATTGTCATTTTATTGTACCAAAGTACGATGCCCGCCCCTAATGCTAAGCTGGCCCCGCTAGCCTGGTCACCATTTAATATAATATGAATTTTTTGCAATGCGATGTCCTTACATAAAACTGAAGACAAATCACATTACAAATAATGTTTATAGAATAAATAACGTACAAAAAATGTAATTTATTTTTAATTTTTTGAATAACCTTTTTATCTGATATTCGAATTAGTAAATTCTTTCAGATCCCTATTCCTCTCATCAAATCCTTTCCATTAATATATAATATGACCAGAGCAATGAAATTTGCATACTTGCATATATTTAGCGGTTCCTTGTATGAACCCGAGTGTCCGGATGTCCACCGATCACATACTGGGGGTCACTTTAGCCGAGTTTATAAATGCATATAAATGCATATTTCATAGGTTACCGCATATTTTGAGTATAACTGCATTTTAAGCGCATATTTAAGCAAATTTTTTAAAATGTATGCATTTTTATGTTTTTTCCCAAATTGTTTTAACTTTAAATTAAAAGTTTATTTAAAAATCTAATTTAAAATACACTATAAATGTGAATTAAGTCACATTAAGTGGTTTACCAATAAATCGAGCAAATTTTTGATGTAAATTAACTAAAAACTAGTGAAATAATATTTGTTCTAATGTTTGTGAAGTTGCAACTATCGTTAAAATTAAAGCATATCTAGACATAAACCTCAAAATATACTTAAATATTTAATATTTTAGTGAATAACTCTATTATTAATATATTAACTGCAAAATTGGGTTTATATACTAATATTTTGTGGAAAAATAAATGCATATTTAAGCGCATATTTTGGACATTTTAAACGCATATTATATGGCATATTTGACTGCTTATAAATGCATAATAATCATTGCTCTGAATATGACACATATATTACTAAAATAAATTTTTAATTAGAGTAAATTTTTTCTATAAAAGTGGTCACTACTCCCGAACCCGATGTCTTAGGGACATATGGACAACATTTTCAAAGACCTCTAACCATGGTCTATCTTTCCCATATTAAATAATGACCAGGCCAGCGGGGCCAGCGTTAGCATTATAAACGGACATTGTACTTTATTAAATTAAATATTACAAATTAGGCAAACCGTTCGGATGCTTTTTGGATGCTTTTTGTATAGTTTTGAGCACAATAATGACTATTACAACAAATTGTTCATTTTAAAGCATAAGTTTAATACTATATCTTAAGATTCTCTGATTAATTCATGGATTTTGTTTAGTCTGCATATTAAATGACTCATTTTCTGGTTTCCCTATTACAAATACAGATTCTATAGTCGTATTTTTTATTTAAAGTTTATATTTATAACTTATTAAAAGCATGATAGTGTAGTCATATATTATCCAGTCGGCCAATAAAATCTGTCCCCTCGGAAACGGCTATATCTCCTTAAAACAATACTGTAATCAGAAATCAACGCTATCTATAGTAATTAGTTTAGAATTTACTATTTAATTACATTACTCTACACTATTAATCAAATAATTTTTAATTAAATCAAATAATATTTCATCATATTTGTATCCCACTTTAATTTACAAAATTTTAACTTGTAATAATAATAAAATTCATTTTTAATTGTCATATTAGTTAAAATGTTGAGATTCTTGTGCTTATGTGTTGCCATAGGTATCACAGTTTGCCCTAATGATCCAAATGTGGACAAATTCTTCGACCCGACCCAACCCGAACCCGAACAGACTCGACCCGAACCCGACCCGAACCCTAACTCCAAGTTTCAGACCCAACCCAACCCGAACCCTAAACCCGAAATAAATGACAGATTTATTTTCACTTGTATTATCACCGAAATAGTGTTCAATAGTTTTTTGCTTTTTAGACATCGTT